TTTGCCCTGTGTGTGAGGGGGGAGCTGCAGGAGTTTGCCTGGGGGGAGGCTGCAGGACTTTGACTGGGGGGGCTGCTGGGCTTAGCGTTGCCAGGTGTCTGGTATTTTCGCCTCCTGTCTGGTTAAAAATGCAGAAAATACCGGACACCTGAAATGTCTGATATTTTCTGATTTATTTTCCTTGCTAGGAGGTGAAAATACCAGACATTGGCAAGACTACACACACTCAGCAATCAGTCCCAGCCCCCAGGCCTCCCTTTCCCCAGATCCCCCCGCCAGGCCCCCCGGAGCTGTCTTGTGGCTGGAGCAGAAAAAGAAAATGGCCACAGACAAAAAGCCTCTTCTTAAAAGGGCCATGCTGTTATTTTTTATTATTATTATTTATTATTTTTTGCTCAACAACTTTGGTCTCCCCCTGTTTTTTACTCAACAGCATTTTTTTCCTGGTGTTTTTTTGGGGGTGGGGGCAGTTTGGTATTTTTGGTTAAACCATCTGGCAACCCTGGGTTTTGCTGGGGGCCCGTTGCTAACAGAACCCCTGGGCAAGAGCTGTGCTGGGTCTGCCTGATGTGCCGTTGCCAGCTGGAAGTACTGACTCCGGTGGCTAAAGAAGCTGGGTGCCCGGCATCTGGCAGCCCCAAGAATGCGCCTGGACCCAGGGGGCTGTTCTGGGGGGTGGGGTGGAGGCCAAGGAGCTGCCGAGGCTGCACTGGGGCCGGGCCGGTAGCTGGGCTCTCAGAAGAGCAAAGTGCGGCTGTGCTGGTGACGGCTCTCACAGGGCCCTTCCCAGCCCCCACGCCACATGCCAGCACACGTCTCTGAGTGGCCCCGAGAAGCCAGGGCTTGAGGGAGGAGGCAGGCACTGGTGGGAAGGCCCCAGGAAAGCCTGCAGGGAGACTATCCCAAGCCAGAGACAAGGACGGCTGGCAAGGCCCAGCCCTGTGTCCAGACTAGGGTCACCAGCTGGGTTCAACAAAAATCCCGGACACACTTGCCGTGACATCACAATCGACATCACACCTGAGTTAGAACAGACGGGACAGGTCTAGTGTCTCCGTTTCTTCCCCGGACAACACGCGCCAACCCCGGAGTGTCCGATTCAAAACCGGACACCTGGCTGCCCTAGTCAGGACCGTTTTCTGCTGCTCCTCGCTGGCGGGAGCTGGGGTGTCCTGGCTCTAATGTGTGTGTGGGAGACAGAGGAA